ACGTGCTTGGGTTCAGGAACAGCTCAGCAGGCTTGTGGAGGCGGCAGGGGTGAAGGAAGCTGTTCATGAGATCGAGTTCTTTGGAAAGAGGCCTCGATGCGCCAAAATTCACCTCGTTTTTGCTGAAGGAAGCGGCATTTCGGCCAAGCGGGCAGCGCAGAAAAAGGTCATTGAGAAGCTCAGGGGCCAGCAGTGGATTCCCCGCGGTATGCAGAAAGCAGTGTGGGTGGTGCCAGACCGCTCGCCAGAACAACGGTGCGTGTCGAGAGCTATGGCCAAGATTGGGAGCTTCATGCAGGAAGTGTGCGGCAAGCCTCGTGACCTGCTTGAGGTCGACAACTGGGGAATTGCTCGGGCTTACTGTGGTGATTTTAAAATTACAGGAATGTCGTCGGGCCCAAGGCCCACTGCCCCTCGTGATGATGAGATGGTGGTCTGGGTGGAGCGCGACGACAGCACCGGCACGTCCATATGGTTGGACATGCTTGCCTTGTGCAAGGGCCTTGGTGCTACCAATCCAGCGGAGATGCTGCAGAAGTGGCGTGGCTTCCAGAAGTGACAAATTCAGTGTGGTGCAGCAGAGACAGGTATCACCCAAGTTCCTGGTGATCAGGAGCAGAATTCATTCTCTTACCTTCGTTTTGGCACTTGGAATATCCAGGGCAAATCGTCGGAGCAGCTCTTTGCTTTGCTTGCTGCATTTGACATGGATATGCATGTGTCTGCTCTTCAAGAGGTCACCGTAGAGTCTTCCTTGGAGGCAGGAGGATATGACTTCGTCATGGACGCAACCAAGGAGTGGATTACTCTGCTGGCCAAGCCACCAGGGTGTTTTCGTGCATGTGGCGTCCTTTTTGATCAGGACCATCTTGTGGACATCAGCAACATCAAAGTTGGACATTCTCATGTGGTTGCCAAGGTGCGGCTCAAGGAGTTCCCAACCCCTTTTGTCATTGCAAGTGTACACTTTCCTCATAGCAAGCGTCCCATCTCTGATTTGGCTGATGCCCTGCAGTCCTTGGGCGAAGACCTTGAAAGATATGTACAGGATGATGCCCCAATGGCAGTGTTGGGCGACCTCAATGTGTCCATCGCAGGCGAAAGCGGGGAAAGCGCTCGTATGGTTCTTTCAGCTCTCACTTGCATGGGTTTGATTCATTTTTCTCATGACCTTGCTTCCACACGGCCTCCCTCCAACAGACGGTTGGACCATTTCACCTACAATGACGCATGGCTGAGCAAATGTGCTTTTCTTCCCGGGGAAGGGCAGCAAGACGAATCCAGTGATCAGCTTGAGCATACCTACGTCCAGGAGAGTTTCCATTGGGTTGCCAGACAAACGCTGGGAGTCGACCATGTGCTACTTACTCATGATTTTCTAGTTCTTCCTGCGCAACGGAAAGCTAGGCGTCTCCGCCCTCAGGCGTGGAAGAGAGTTGGCAAGTACAAGACCCTGCCCAGCATTGCAGAACATGTTCCTACTGCTCATGATGCATCAAATGCTTATGCTAGTTTGGTTGTGCTTTGCCAGCGTAGATCGAGAAGACTTTACAGCATCAAGTACCGTGACAATTCTCAGATCACAGATTTGTGTCGTCTGCGTAGCATTACTCATGACCGTGCTGAGCGTGAAAGGCTATCTAAAGCAATTTTTGAGCAACGTGCTCTGGCACGTCGTTCGTGGCTTCAATCTTTGTGGGATCGTGCTTCACAGGGGGATTGGAGCGCGAGGGCGTACCTTCAACGACGCAAACCTCGTGCAGGGGGAGTTAGTCACTTGGTAGCGGATGCAGGCTCAGTTGAAGCAGCTCTATGTACTGTGCGACAATTTTTCGATGAGCGCTTTACAGGGCCCCTCTTCCAGAGCCAAACCTCCCATGGTGTACGCCCCTAGACTGGCCGGTTGAGCCACCTATTCAGACAGCTGAGCTCCTTATTGCTCTGAGCAAGCTCAAGAATGGGAAAACTACTGGGTCTACGGGTGTTTCCTTTGAAGCTTTGAAGGGTATTGCTGAAGCCCCAGGCGGTGAGGAGCTATTGCTGCAAACAGTCAACCATTTGCATCGACACCCTGAGCAGGCCCCCACTGAGATGTTTCATGGTTTAGTTGTTCTTCTTGGCAAAACTTTGCGGGTGCGCTCCCCCAAAGACCTACGTCCCATTGTTCTGACTGAGTCCCTGTGCAAATTGGTGGCCAGTATTAGCACTTCGCGCAGCGTGGATCGGTGGCCAGCCCCTTACGAGATGCTGGGAGGTGTTGCAGGCGTGCAGGTTGCAGAAACAATCTGGGCAGCCAAGACAATGCTTGCAAGAAGTCGTATGTTTGAGGATTCCTATTTGTACCTTCGCATTGATGTTTCAGCTGCTTTTGATTCTTTACAACACCACGCCGTTCAGAGGCAGTTTTGTGATCATTATTTGCCTGAGCATTCTGTGAGTCTGCGGTTCCTGGATCATTTGATTCGTAGCCAACACTTAACTTTCGCTGTACTTGAACATGAATGGAATTTGGCCCCCGCCCGGGGCATTGTGCAAGGAGGCTGTCACAGCCCCAAAATCTTTGCAAGAACTCTATGTAACGTTTTTGCCTGTCTGCGCAACCAGTGGTTGACGAGCGGGGAAACGCCGCCCTTCCAGTTTGATGCCATGCGCCTTTGGGCGCTTTTCTTTATTGACGACGGCTTGCTGGTTTTTCGTGACCTTCCGCAACTACAACGACTTTTTCCTCAAGTTTGTGCTGCTCTGGCTTCCATTGGGCTTAGCATCAACCTGGAAAAGTGCAGGTTATTGGGGTGGCGAGTTCCGCGGACTTTGCCGGCCTGTTTGCAAGGTGTTCGGGTGGTGGATCGGGTTGTCTTCCTTGGGGTGCCGCTCTCGGTCACTTCTTCTGACAACGATATGGTGGCGTCTCTCGCGCACAGAGCTGTTTCTGCTTTCTTTGCCAACCGCCGCCTGCTTACCAGTCGAGCTGCTACAGTGTTTCAGCGAGCAAGGATGTTTCAGGCGCTTGTCACCTCAACCGTCAGGTGGTGTATTGGAGCAGTCATTCCTTTCGCTGGAGCGCTGAATTCTTTCCGGGTACAGTGCGTGACCTTGCTGGTGTGGTGTTTGCGACTTCGGTCGCACCCAAGTTGGCATGATGAGAAACAGTATGCCTGCAGTGCAGGCACATTGCCAAACTGGGGTCGTGTGTGCTGGGGTTGGCATGATGAGAAACAGTATGCCTGCGTGCGGCACATTGCCAAACTGGGGTCGTGTGTGCTGGGGAGGACTGTGGGATGTGTTGGCGTTGGAACAGCATTGGCTTCTTTTGGGACATATGGTGCGGTCGGAGACTACGCGCGTGCCTGCAGCTTTTGTCTTATCGGAAACCCACACTGGCGCCATTCTGCACGGGCGCCGCAGATACCGACGTGGCCCGGACAACACAGGTTCTGCCTTGGTTTCAAGGTTTTTGGGAGCTCGTGGACTCGACTTCACTTTGGCTTATGATAGGGAAGCTTGGGAGCAGCAGGTGCGAGCTTGGGTGCGATCGCATTCTGGCACTGTTCATCCTGTTGGTGAGAATGTATTTTCTGTGGACCCTTTACATTTTGCCTGGCACAGGAGGTGCATGCAAGGGGTGTGCTTTGGATCTCAGACGTTCTTCATTCGGCAACTTGTGGAGCTACGTCGGTCAGAAGGCTGGATTTCATTTGCGCTGGCCGCTGCTACCAATGATTTTTGTCATCTTGCATCTTTGTTAGACACAGCAATTCGCTCGACCACTGTACATGTTCGATTGTTCATGCATGAGTGTCATATTGTTTTGCCTACCTCCAGTCAGCGATTATGGGAGCGAGGCGTCCAGGAACTCCTAGCTCTGGCTGGCAATCCCTGATCCCTGGCCTCTGGGAGCTTCCTGGAGCTTCCCGGAGCGATAGTTCCTTCTTCCCTGCAGCAATTTGCTTCATTTCTTGAAATCTCCTCCAAACCTTGGATCTGGGGTCGGCGCAATGTAAAAATGGCCATCCACGCTCAAAATGTAAAGATCTGGTCATTTAGCTCCTTGCTGGGTTTGGCCAGCCGCTGATAAATTGCTCATATGCATGGTGCAATACAAAAATGGCAACTCAAGCTTGAAATGTAGAGAATTGCCTTTCCGGGCTTCGCTAGCCGCTGATAGATTGTTCATACGGCGCAATGTAAAAATGGCCAGCCAAGCTCAACCAAGTTGCACAGAGCCAAGTTGCACAGAGCCAACTTGCACAGAGCCAAGTTACATAGAGCCAAGTGACATAGAGCCAAGTTACATAGAGCACATTCACCATAGAGCCAAGTTACCATAGAGCCAAGTTACCATAGAGCCAAGTTACATAGAGCCAAGTTACATAGAGCCAAGTTGCACAGAGCCAAGTTGCACAGAGCCAACTTGCACAGAGCCAAGTTACATAGAGCCAAGTGACATAGAGCCAAGTTACCATAGAGCCAAGTTACCATAGAGCCAAGTTACCATAGAGCCAAGTTACCGTAGAGCCGAGTTACATAGAGCCAAGTTACACAGAGCCAAGTTACACAGAGCCAAGTTACACAGAGCCAAGTGGCACAAAGCCAAGTTACACAGAGCCAAGTTACACAGAGCCAAGTTACACAGAGCCAAGTTACACAGAGCCAAGTTGCACGAGCCTGCTTTGCAGAAGCTGTTGCATCGATGTAAAAGGGCGTCTCCGCGGCTGGAAAAGCACATGATGGGAAGCGCTTGGGGAAAAATGCTTTCGGGCCAATCGTCCTCTAGTTTACAGGGAAGCCATCAGTGGATCGGTATTCTTCAATTTGCCTGCCTAAGGACTTTCCCTAAGCTCCAAACCACCTCAAGAGGTTGCCAACACCCCAGAAAGCTTTTGGTCCCACACTGGGTGGGAAGTTGCTTGTGGGTGGTGTCAATTCTCAAAAGCAGAAGCAGCTTCTGGTTCCCTCTTTCTAGGGCCACGTGCATGTAGTCTTTGCGGCCCTTTTGTCAGGACTGCGAGCCCCTGTTTGACATCCTGGACGACGGGGACGGGCGGATCACCATCCACGAGTTTTGCAAAGGCATTATGAAGATCAAGGGCCAAGCGCGGGCGCTGGACATTGTGCTCTTGCAGAGGGAGACACCCGCTTCGGTCGCCTTCCCAATTATTTAACACCGACACTTGTTTAGGAAGGGGGGCTTTGTAGTGAAAGCTGCCCTGTTGCAAGTTGATTAGGCAGGCGTCAACATCACCTGTGTTGGGTTTGGTTCAAAGCGAAACTAAAAGGTAGCCATTTTGGGTTTGCTTGGCGTTGTTTTCAACAGAGCCAACATGACATCATTTTTGGAAACCTCCTGGCACCTACTTGCCACAAAGCACTTGCTCAGATTGTGGGTCCCAAGGAACAAAGATCTAAGAAGGTGGAATCCAAAACCCAGCTGTTTGATTGCCATCTTGGTTTGTCTCAAAATGGTGGGCACCCACTGCAGTCAGCAGTGGTTGTTTCATCAGGCATTGGAAGGGGCAGAGCTCCAGTTCTGGGCTCAAAAAATGCCAGGCAACCCTCTGAGTCTCAGAATCGACCGGCTCAGTGGGAGCCCAGTTCTTGAAAGGGTTCGGCAAGGCCCAAGCAGAAATCAAAGCGGCCGCTCTTTTGTACAATTGGGTAGGCGGCTTTTATGAAGGGTTCTGATTATGGCTCAGGCCGGGCCATCCCCACCTCCTGTGCCGGGCCCCAATCAAAGGCCTGTCTCCAGCCTGCTATTTCCCCTTCGAGCGAAGTCGGTTTGTGTTCTTGAGGGTGCACTTTGTCAGGGGGGGTCTTGGGTGAAGCCAATAGGACAACCACCATTTTTGTGGACCCCCTATTCTGGCACATGCCCAGACAATGCATGGAGGAGGGGGGCACGTTCATTAACCATGCGGGTGGGAGAGCAGGCTTTAGATGGGCAAAGCTGAATGTGGATTCAGTGGATAGGCTTCCGCCCGGGAGGGTGTTTTACATGGTGGGAATACAGCGGTTACATATTTTATGAGTGTGTCTGTTTTTAGGAATCGGACCTGCCCCCCTAATGGTGCTTTCCTTGTTTTCCCCAACAAGAGGTACCCTCAAAAAAGACACACCCACACAAATATTACAAGAACGACCTGTTGATTCACATGTCGAGCTTGGGTCTGTAACACGCGCTTACGGCACGAGCTCGTCTATCGAAGAGTTGCGGCCGCCTTTTGGCCGCTCAGCTCGCCTCGACCCCACAGGAGAGTCATAAAGTGCTGAAGGAGTGCCAAGAGATTCATCAGCAGCTGAGCCAGCTGAGATCCTTGCGCTAGGGCCTTCGAAAACGCTCCTTTTGGTCGGGCGTTCGACGAACTCAAACAAACGTTTTTTTTGTTTATTCCTTGCTTTGTTCTTTGAATGTGGTTCTTGTCGGGAACGATGCCATTCGGGATCCCATATATTCCCGAACGAGCAAGTGTCTCTTTCGGGTGAGGGCCTGGAAGGCTTTCCTGCGGGGACAGAATCAACCGGGACAAATGCCCCGGGTATCAAGAGGCGTCTCTAAGAGATGACCTCAGGTGCTACGGCAAAGCCAATTGCAAGACACCGAGTTGTCGTTTCTGACTTCTTCCATGTGCTCAAGGTAACTCTGCAATTCCAGTTGGCTGAAAAGGGCAGTCAGTGGTAAATGTTTGTTCAGAGGCACCTGCAGATGGAAGCTTTGTAATAGCTGCGCAAAAAACGGGGAGAAACAATCGCACAGTGTGCGGCAAAGCGTCCTGCGGCTCGGAAGTCGGCTCGACTCAGCTCGGGGATTCCTGAGTCGAGGGACCTGTCCATGAACCACATGGCCATGATGTCAGGGAAACCAACTAGCAGGGATACAGGAAAAAGCCAGGGATACGGGCTTCACCTTGACGAAGTTTGATATGAGAAATGGCGCCAAGGGAATCCCCCGCATATCTGTCCGAATCGTTTTTCAGTCGGTTTCCAGGGCTAGATGCTGCCTGTCAGGCGGTGGCTTTCCTTAGGGCCCTGAGTTGGAAGGTGCCAGGTCTCATTCTGAGGTCAGCCAGCTGGGTTGACTCCTGACATCCACTGATTGAACCAACGATTATTGAGGGGCGGCGTGCCTGTTTCATTTTTAATTGCCAGAGGGACCAACTGATTGAAAACCCGCCGGTGGACATTGCCTGGCGTGCCTGGTGGGCGTATTTGGCACTGAGAGACTCGTCAAGTAGCCCAGGGGGGCATCCCTTCAGTCGATCTGAGCCTCACCCGGCCGGGTACCCATGCTTGTTGGAGAGCAAATTTGATTCCAACATGCCCCGAAACCACTACCCCCAGGCGAAAACGGGGTATATAACCTTTATATAGTTTCATGATTTTGTGGTTGAATATCCTATCAAACCCTGTAGTGGAATTCGGGCTGGACACCGTAGACTGATGGAACCTGCACCCCTGAGGTCTGACGAGCGCCTGCTCGATGTGGGCGTGAGCTGCTGAAAACGGCGGGGGAGTCATGGGCGGGGTCAACGAACATGCAAGTCCTCAGGCAACCTGTGGAAAACTAGCCCGTGATGTGTCCATGTGTCAGCTGGGTCACTGACTGCAGCGATTGGGGCAGAACTTTGAAGCCTGAGCAATGATATCATAGAAGCTTTGTTTGAGATTGTCTAGTTTCGTAAAAGAGCGCGGAAGATGAACGTGGCCTACCAAGTTCCCCTTCGGATGGACAATGTTGCCAAACATCTTGGGTTCCTATAAGGAATTTGGCTTAGTGGTGCATCCAAGCGGCCTCATTAATGTTGGACCTTGTTTACTGTGGGCCCCCCCCTGGAACAGTCAAAACAGTCTGGGGATCCTGAATACGGATTTGGCGGGGGGCTTGGGTGACTTGAGTATTGCTTTGGTATTGCCACTACTTAGTTTAGTATTGCCAGAACTTCCTTTTGGATTGCCACTTATTGGTTTAGTATTGCCAGCACTTCCTGTTGGGTTGCCACTACTTAGTTTAGTATTGCCAGCACTTCCTTTTGGGTTGCCACCCTAAGACTGGACATTAAACATGGTACCCAAACAGTGCCCCTTAAAGAAGACCAACCCCCCTTGTGGGCAACCCCCTTTGCAGGACTGTTTGGGGCTTGTTTTTGGATGCATTTAAGTATGGTGGGGCTTGGGATCAAATCAGGAATTCTTAGGCTCAGGTCTTGGCCTGGTCCCTTGCTAAGCTTTTAGATTTGGAGCCCCTTTTAAAAGCAAGAGGCTAAGATGTGACCTGGAGATTCCTAACCCACCCACGCCTAAGACTGGACATGAAACATGGTACCCAAACAGTGCCCCTTAAAGAGGATCAGGCCCCCTTGTGGGCAACCCCTTTGCAGGACTGTTTGGGGCTTGTTTTTGGATGGATTTAAGCAAAGAATTTTGATGGTTGGGGCTTAGGATCGAATCAGGAATTGTGAGGAGTTTGAGCAACCAAAGATTTGCAGAGTTTCACTACTAGGACTGAGCCAGGAAGGCCCCTATTGCGAGTTTTGAGTCAGATTTGTTTAACGGGATTTTTGGGGTTCGAACTTGACATAAATGATGGTACCGAAACAGTGGGGGGGTCGTGTTTAAGCCGGGGAAACTTGACATAATGCAGACTACCGATATTAAACCAGGTGCAACATTACGTTCAGCTGAATGCAGGTGTGTGGTTCTGTGCTCTTCTTTCAGCCCTGCATTCCTTCGCGAGCTTGTTGCTTCAGTCGGGCAACTGTCTTGGCGCTTCACGTGTTAGCCCTTGCGATTGCCAAATGGGGCTCTCCTTGTCCAGTGACATCACGCAGACTTCTCTGCATCTTGACCATCTTGTGCGCGGAAAGATCTTGCAACTTGTCACTGGAGGCAAGACTGTCTTTTTCGGATAAACAACCCTACATTGCTTTGAGGGGGCCCCTCAAAGACATAGCAAAGGAACTTCTCACTTGTTGAACTCGACACTTTGAGGCGTCCCAATGTGATTATTTTTTGTTCATGGGCGCGGACTTCTTTGATCCCTCCTGTTGCGCAAGGCTTCACGTGTCGTGTTTGACTCGCGTCCAGACCATTTGCTGGTTGGAGACCAACCCAAACCACGGGAGAAAGGTCCAAAGGTCCCATGGTCTGACCTGAGTCGAGCCCCGAATGGGCAATCCCGCCTGAACTCGGGAGGTGCTTAGGTCCAGAAATGAAAGGCTTCTATTTGCTCAGGAGTATTCTTTATTCTTGGTTTTAAAGGGAATCTATCACTACTGGTACTATTTTTTTCCAGGGGGGCTTAAGCAAATGGAAGAAGGTCTTCGGGCATGAAGCCATGCGCAAGCCTGAAAAGCAACCCTGCAACACACGCTCCATATTCCCGGTCGCCATGATGCAAGTGGAAGCCCGCGCCCGCGCTGAAGCAGTGCCCATGGCGTTGGGTCGACCCCGTGGAAATGGGGAGAGCACCCGGGGAATACCCGTGGCAACCCGTGTTTTTTACTACAACATTGTGTTTTCAGAAAACACCGTGTTTTGGAACCCGTGGCTAACCCTTTGTAGCCTGTGGGAAAATATGGGTTCCGGGGGCCCCCAACCAACAAGTATCAGTGAGCTTTCTGTTTCCCTTTTGACGCTGCCAATCAAATTTGGTACACATAGCAAGTAACTTTGCACCTCCCGGCACTTCCTCAGGTTATCTGAAGGGTTCTCGGGCGTGCCCTAGCTAGCTCCTTCAAGGATTGGAAAAAGGATTGTTTTTCTTCAAAAAATTGAGGTCGGCCGAGTAATTTGTTGTTACAGAAGCAGTTGCATTTGCACAGGCTTGTCTTTTGAAAGTCTGTGTATTTCCTGTAAATCACTCAATCTGAAAATCTCGTGCTTCCAGAAAAAGAAAAACATCGTAATTGTTGATATGACATTTTTAGAGGTTTTTGGGTCTCCTGGTAGTTTCTCCTTATGTAGCCGGAAGCCTGGTCATGAAAAGTTGACTGTTTTCGCCCTTGAAGCCAGTGAGATCACGGAAGCAAGCGCACGTTTTGCAGGTCGGATTAGGACGTTTGAGGAATACGCAAGTTGATGCCTTGAACGACAGGCGCCGATGTTTTCGCAGAGCTTCGCCATGCAAACAGCCCGCGCAGAAGTGGTGCCCCGGCAGACAAGTCACATCGACGCCCTCAGGAGCTTAGCCTTTGCTAGGGAAACCTGCAAAAGGATTTTCAGCAGAGCTGCAAGCAGCAAACCATCTCTGCCCCAACTCAGTTGTATCAGTGGCGTTTTCGTTCGCCTTAGTTTCTTGAACTTGGCTGGGGGGCCCGTTTTTGCTGCCCGGCCACTAGGTACACCAAGAATGCGTGGCTGAGAGACGTGCCCCCGAAAAAACATGTTAGCATATTTGGGTCTGACGGGGCCCCGCCCCGCCCCCCCCCCCCCCCCCCTCCCAGTTAACGGTGGGCTACAACCAAATCTGTGCAACCGATTTAGCGCCGCTTTCTTAAACTGGTTCGGGCCCGGTAAGGTTTCCAGGTACCCCATGTGCCTTGTTTTCCAGCATGCCCTTGCAGGCTGCTCAAAGCAACATTTGGTATGCAACAGGCCTCGCATTTTTCCGGTGCTTTGCTTTTGGTGGATGGTGCACGATTGAGTGGGTGTGGTTTGGCCCCTGCGGACGACGCCGAGTATTTGGGTGCCGTCACTTTGAGGCTGAGCTGTCGAACGATCGACCAAGCAAGAATGCATTCAGTCAATCAGTTTTGTAGTCAACCATCAACCAACCAAGAAAGCACGCAGTCAATCAAGCAATGAATCAACCAATCAGTTCACCAGTCAGTTCATCAATCAGCTAAACACCCACACGCCACACACACATTCTTTGCGTGTCATTTTCCTGGCAGCGGGAAACTGGCCCCCTTTCTAGGAAGGCAAATCGTACAGCAGCCAACGTCTCTACTACATATTAGCTTTCTTCAGGCGATTTCTGGTCGACTTTAAAGAAAGCAATAAGTTTGACCAGCTCAATGTAGCATGCTAAAAGCTTAAGCTTTGGTTTCATGCCATTTCTTTGTTCAGGGAGGCAGGATCAAGGCCAGCGGATGGGGGCTTCACACGTTTCGCGGCTTATCCATGGCAGGGGCAACCCAAAGCAAACCGACTTTTTACCTTTTCTGCCGTGCGCACGCGTGCCAGGGCCTTTGCTGGCAGGCCCCCAAGCCCCCGTTTTGCATGTCGGATTAGGATGTTTGAGCCGCACGCAAGCCTGAATCATATCTGCAAAGCGACCGAAAGGTTTTGGGACCACTTTGCCCTGTTGATGCCTTGAACAACGCCCATGTCTTTGCGAAGCCTCGCCATGCAAACAAGAGGCTGCAACACCCGCGCAGATGTGGTGCCCTTGCAGACAAGTCACAACTGTCAGATAGCAACGCGCAGTTCTCCATGAAGAGGCCATGGCTTTGGGAGACCCAGCAAAGGGATGCTTTTGAGGGCTGAGACGCCAGCGGCCGTGTCGGGGTCTTTGCATCTTGGAGGGCCCCGTGGACTTCTTAAGAAAGGAACCTATCAGTTCCGTGGTCCCCTCGTGATTGTGGGTGTTTCTTTGGGTAAAAGCTTAGCCTTTAGATGCTAGGGGCACCTGCAACAGGATGTTCCAGA